GCTCGTCAGCGCCTCGGCATTCTGCTCCTCATGTGATACTCAGCAGTTTATTTTAGCTGCATAAAAAATTCAGTCCAGCTAAGCTTTTTTGCCTACTATTTGCCTCCTTATACTATCATACTACCTCATAAAATAATGAATTTCTGCCGCTGCTGACGCATTTCCCATCGAAGTTAAGGAAGCAAACCAACGACCAAATGCTCCAACGCAATTCAATTTCAAAATTTGTGAAAAAGCAAAATGAGGCGAAGAAAAATGCAACCAAAGTGAAAAATCCTCCTTCTTGAAGGGCAGACCCGAAAACAAACAAATAAAATTGGGGGATTCATCAATGTAACAAGGATAAATGATTAAAAAATTTATACGGCCATTCCTGGCCTGCTACAAAATACATTTTGTTGCAACTCGATTGTGTTTAGCCCAAACTTGTCGAAACATGCAGAATTCAGCCCTGCTTGAGTGTTTTAAATAACAAATCCGTACGGGGAAACCAATTCGAGGTTAGTACTTGCCCCAAACAAATTACCGTACGTTCTGAAACAATAATAAATTGATATATTTTGAAAGCAAACTTCTGGCCATAATCAACCATAACATGTTGCTTAGATGTCCCAGTGACGCCATCGTGATGCTGGAACAAACTCATATACCGCCGTGCCTCGACAAGCAGTCCAAACAAGTGAGACTCGTTTCGCCTTTCCAACACACCCTTTTTCAATCTCATCATACTGTACAGAAATTCCGACGTCCTGAAACGCTTACCAACATCAAGCTTTCTTCCTGTAAGTAACGCATCCGCGAAACAAAAATTTCTGCACTATTTTTATTTCCAGATAACCAACCTGAGATAGTGCTGTAAAACACGATCCAGACGTTTATATAATGGACGACTTGTATAATATCCTGGAAACAATTTATTTTTTCAAGGCATCCCAGTTCATTTGGGAATGAGTACTCCAAACTGTAAACAATCGAGTCCGTAAGCAAAATATGAAAATTGCACCACAGTTTCTAAAAATAAATTTATACCATGCTGTCTGATGAAGCTCGCACGATGCAAATCACTAGCACAGTAGCACGAAACAGCGGTGAGCAGCAAAAGGCTACGCAGCTCGAATGGCAGTCAGAGAATCATTAAGAATAACTATGTCTGACGTTACTTTCTTTTCCTCCTTTCCCTTCCCAGCCATACCACCGGCTTGACACCAAAAGGCTCAAGCAGTCGTGAATGGTAAAGGTGCAGGCTTCCTCATCAACATGTTTCCAACACATGCCTTTAAAAGTAATCACTGCAACACTACTGCATATTCACACTTAAAATCGGGTGAAAACTAAGTTTTTTCAGCATTCAGGGCCATTTATGCGGGCAATCCTGCAAAGAATTCGCTCA